ATACTGACAGCTATTTTCTCCTGTATACGGGTACTGGATGCTAGTTTGTATTGTGCTGGGAGATTCTTAAAATTAAGATTCTCAAACTGTATCTGTACTAGAAATTCTTCCATTTTAAAGTACTGTGAGAATTTATCGATCGAATTTACTTGGTCAGAAAAATGTGAACTTAACGTGAAATCTGCTACAGAATTTAGGAATGCAGATGTTAACTCCATAAATCCTTCAATCACAAAATGTACATAGTATAATGATTTTCCAGGAAAATCCTTGACTTAAATACATAAATTACATTATTGAAATTCTGGGATTTTCTTGGTCATTACAGTAATAGTCTAAAGTTCCTTAAGCTCGGTACTTGAGTTTGTACACCCATTTACAACCGTTGGAAGCTTCCCAGGAGGAAGAGTGGTCACGGGCCATGTGTCATTTTGCTCAAGAGCCTCAAGCTCGGTAGTCATTGCCTTTCTCCATTCTGGGATAGCAACAGCCTGTGAAAAACTGGATGGTTCGAAGTGTGTGGAGACGACATGGACAAAAGCTTTATGGTCATGGGACAATTTGTCATAGCTCAACATATGATAGAGGGGATGAGCTGTGGATGATGGAAGGTGAGAGACACTGGAACAATGATAGTCTCGAAGATAGGAAGGGGGTTTGACATGACGAGTTGGACGTGTGGAGGAGGAAGTAAGATCAGGTAGAGTACCAGACATAGGAACGAAAGGCTCAACATCATAGGCACAAGGCAACACTCGGTCAGAGAAAAAGTCTATGGAGGAATTCGAAACACTTTCTGTTTTGAAAGGAAACACTGTTTCATGAAAGACAACATCTCTAGAAATGTAGATGGAGTTGGAGGCAAGATCAAGGAGTTTATAGCTTTTGTACCCGGGGGGTAACCAAGAAAAACATACTCTATGGCTTGAGGAGAGAACTTATTGCGATGTCTACGAAGTGTGGAACCATAACATAAACAACCAAATGCCTTAAGGTGGGAATATGATGGTTTCTTCTTCCAAAGGAGCTCAAAAGGAGTTTTATTCGACAAAAGGGGTGATGGAGTTCGATTAATGAGATAAACAGCTGTGAGTACACATTCTCCCCAATAATCTAAAGGAATGTGTAATTGGAAGTGAAGGGCTCGAGCTACGTTTAAGATGTGTTGATATTTTATTTCAACAACAGAATTTTGTTGGGGTGTGTCTATGCAAGAGTGATAAGGAATGATCCCCTTTTTACAAAAAAACTCAAGAAATGACAATTCCTTAGCATTATCAGACATAACAGATTTTATGGTCACATTAAACTGACTTTGAATCAAAGTGAAAAATTATGAAAAAACAGTTTTGACATCTAATTTGGCACAAATCAAGTATACCCAGGTAAAATGTGTACAATCATCTACAATGGTTAAAAAATAACGATAACCTTCAGTAGTCATTGGTGTAAAAGGCCCCCATATGTCACAGTGTTTTAATTCAAAAGGCAAAGCAGACAAAGAATTGGAGGAAATAAAAGGTAGTCAACGTTGCTTAGAAAAATGACATATTGAACAATGAGAAGGATCATTTGTAACATCAGTAATTTGCAATTTATTCCTCAATGTATGAATCTTTACATAAGAGGGATGTCCCAACCTATAATGCCAAATTTCATTTTTTGTTAAGGTAACATTATTATAATCTGCTGTAAACTTAGGGAAAACTGGTAAATGACTAGAGGAGTTAGGAGCTAAGCATGTAGAGTCCAAGATGTAGAGATTTCCTTCTCTTCTACCCATCCCAATCATTCGGCCCTGAATATGGTCCTAGAGCACACAAGATGCAAAGTGGAAATTAACAGACAAGTGGTGACTCTGAGTGAGTAAGCTGACAGACAAGAGATTAAAATGAAACTGTGGCACATAGAGAACATTGTAAAGAGTGAGATTATCCGACAAAGGAATGGATTCTATATGAGTGACTTCTACGGTGAGACCAGTGGGCAACGAACAGAGGAGTTGGTTATAGGCCTAGAGTGGTCAAAACATGATAAGGAGCAAGAAACATGGTGTGTTGCTCCCGTGTATAGAACCCAACATGTGGAAGGAAAATGAGCAATGGACAAAATAGAAATAGTAGCAAGGGAAAGAATACCACTGAAGCTTGACACTAATGGTTTGGGCTGTTGCTGATCCGAAGCAGAGCAGGCATTAGTCTGGAGTTGAGAGCTTAAAAGAGCAATGAGCTGCTGGCATTGGGAGGCAGTTAAGTCCCTGACTGAGGGCTCTGAGGTGCGCTCTTCAGGCAACACTGCTGCAACCTAGTTTGCTTGTGGCTTAGGTGGGGCTTGCTTGGGCTTTGGCTTGTAACCAGGGGGAAAACCATGGAGTTTGTAACACTTGTCCACCATGTGACCTTGTAAGCCACAATGGGTACAGATTGGGCGGTCTCGCCTGGGTCTAGGGGAGAAGTTAGACGCTGCAACAGTGTGAACTATAGAAGATGATTCTCCCATGGCTAGAGAGGTGGCAACAGGAATCCCATTGTTGATTGCCCGCTGGCGTTCCTCTTGTACCATAAGGGCAAACACCTTGGTCAAAGGCGGTAAGAGGTCCATCAGGAGGATCTGAGCTCGAGTCTAGGTGAAGGACTTATTCAAACCCATCAAGAACTGCATCACACACTCTTACTGTTGATACTCCATCCAGCTTTTCATGCCTCCACAGCGACAAACGGGGATTGGTTAGTACAACTTTAGCTCCTCCCAGAGTATCTTTAATCGGGCGAAATATGTGCTCACATCAAGAGCACCTTGATGCAGAGCCACGAAGTGAGTCTTCATCTAGAAAATCCGCGGCCCGTTACGCTGATGGAAGCGTTCATGAAGATCTGACCAGATCACTGCAGCAGTATCAATATAAAGAATACTATCAACTATGTCTCGACTTACAACATTCATGATCTAGGAAATCACCATGCTGTTGCAGCGTATCCACACGCCGGAGAGTAGATTTTCAATTTCAGGCTGTGGTATGCTCCTATCGACAAACCCGATCTTATTCTTGGCGGTCAAAGCCATAATCATGGCTTGGCTCCAGGTGTTGTAATTGGATCCAATGAGAAGATTGGAAACCAAAACGATGCTTGGGTGATCTCCATTGTGCAGGAAATAGAGACTTGCTGAATCCTCCATGGCCGGTGGAGCTGAGGATCCAACAACCACGCGATTGCCAGAGTTTTCGCCAGCCCTAGTCATTGGACGGGTAGAGGAAAAATTTCCATAGATTGGTAGAGGATTATTGCTCTGATACCATATTACAAAAAGAACGAAAACCACATAGAGAAATCTGTGAAATGAAGCATTCTGTGAATTGCTTGCATAGAAAACCGAGAGGAATGGTCCTTATACACACTGGAAACGAGAGTGGCAGGAGTTTGTTGTAACAAAACTCCAGCTCATCAAAGGAAATAAAAATAAAGAAAATAGCAATTTGCTTAGTCTTATTTACAAGCTAACATCTAATTAACCCTTATTTACAATCTCAACCTCAAAACTCTTAATAATTACTATTCTGAAGACTCATATTTTCATTCAAAAAGAGGGGCAATTTGAGAGTGATTGTGAAAAAACATTTTGGGCATGTTTAGTGGATCTCATTAGAGAATCATATTGTATAATAATATATTAATATAATTTTTGGTATGCATACTGAATTGTATTAACTAATACGGATGATAAATTAATACGATTTTTTTTTCAGAAATTGTAGTAAATAGCAAATTTTTGAAATTAAATTAAGTAAATAATAAATTTTAAAACTATTTGAAGTAAATAATAGTTTATTGTGTAAATATTTAATTTATGACTCGTAAAAAATAATTTACGAAAAAGATCTTTTTACGTGAAAAAAAATCTTTATACCAGTCGTAAAAAGAAAATTTAAGTGAATAAATCTTTTTACTAGTAGAGTGGTACGATACAATGTAGCCCATTTCCACGATAAGTAGTCGTTGAACTTCTTATTGAATTTATGGGATTACACACTCCGAACACACACTTAAAAGTCTCTCAAGATGGTATGTAAATTAACAAGAGAGTAAATTTCTGCAAACTACTGTGTATATTATAAACTTGGTACCATATAAGTCTAGATCCAAAAACCTCTAGCGTTGTGGAGTGGTTGTAAACCCAATTTCTGTATTTTACACCAAAAACAAAAAAAAAAACAAAAAAAAAGAGTGAAAATACGTTACCAAATAAAGCACAAAAATGAAAAGCTGTTTTCATCTAATTCCGCAGGAAAACCTATCGATTCTTTGCTTGTGAAAAACCAGAAATATGAAAATATATTGTAAACCAACTATTTGAAATCTGATGCATGGTTCTGTTGTTTAGCTGTCATTCCGTGTGGTAGATTAATATAAAGGAAAAACGGAAAACGATACAACGTTATTTTAAAATTCAATATTCTGCAGCTGACATACAATAGTGCCCACTTTTCAAAGACTTCGCTTCTTTTTTTTATTTTTATTTTAAATATACTCTAATTTTGCCACGACTCAATATCAAACTAATTGGCAGCTAGTACAGCTGCATCTCCAATGTCGTGATTGGCCGCCACAAGATTCTGAATCTTTCATTTTGAGTGGAGCAAAGTTATCCAATAGCGACTCAAGAAAATCATCACTAAAGTACAAAAAGTAAAGTTTGTATGGTGATATAATCAAAACTCAAATTTTACTCCGTAGCATTATTATTATCTTTATTTTGGAAACTATAGACCTCATTGCATCAGCAACGGCACTTTCTAAGGAATGTAAATCTTATTCTTAAGAAAGAATGCAAAGTTGTCATAAATTGACATTAAAAACTACGTTATAGAAGTTCCAATAACTTATAATATCATAATATGCGTGTGTGTGTATATGTATATATATATAGCAAGGCGCTAAATCAATTTACACAAACCATCCTAATAGTCCATAAGTGAACCAAATATTAGAGTACTAGAGATGATGAGAGGCTATTTTTCTTCATTTGTCTGTTTTGTCATCTTACTTCTTCTTGCAGACACTTTGTCGAGCCTCGAAGCCAAAATCTGCAAGCCGAGTGGCAAAATAAGAGGGAGAAATCCTCCTCCAGGTGAATGCAATCCAGAGTACTCGGATTGCTGCAAAGAAGGGGAGCTCTACACCACTTACAAGTGCTCACCAAGGGTGTCTGGCCGTACAAATGCAGTCCTTACGCTCAACAGCTTTGAGAAGGGCGGTGATGGAGGCGCGCCCTCTGAGTGCGACGAGCATTACCACTCAGACGACACGCCGGTCGTGGCTCTATCGACGGGATGGTTCAACCATATGCATAGGTGCTTCCAGAATATTACCATATATGGTAATGGTAGGAGTGTTAATGCCATGGTTGTGGATGAATGTGACTCTACTGCAGGGTGTGATTCTGATCATGGTTATCAGCCCCCATGTCCTAATAACATTGTCGATGCATCTAAGGCTGTTTGGAAGGCTTTGAAAGTGCCAAAGAGTGATTGGGGTGAACTAGATATATACTGGTCCGAAGCTTGATTTTTATCCTGCATGTTTATCATTGCTAGTACTTGAGATTTGGAGGAGGTTTAAATTGTGCTAGGAGTGTTATGTATTACATGACTATTGAGATTGGTATATTACTTATATACCATCCTTTTCTGTTATTACCGAATAAATTTCATAAATTTCTCCTGAACTATGTCATTTGTGTCAATATATTTTCCGAACTTTAAAACGTACATATTGCACTCTCGATCTATAATATTTCTTCAAATTTACGCAATTAATGAATGTATTTCAATCTAAATAAATTATCAAGCTACTTGTATGTATTTTCTCCTTAAAGTAGTTGTTCAAAAGCAAAAAAACTAGAGAGAAAAAAAGTGGAGAGCGGGCCCGAATTCAATTGGATAAGTTCCGCTTCCACACATGACCTTCTCTGCAACAAACTCTCTTTAAAAGCTGAGTTTAGTGTAGAATTCTACCCAGTTCAAGCTGGCCCCGCCACAAGGAGACAACAATAATTGCTCAATATATTGAAAAACACATGGATAAATTTGTTTAATTAGGAAAATGCAAGAGAAAATCTTAACAATTGTTGGAAAAATATGGTCGTGCAATTCGATTGAACGTAGGTTTTTGTCATGATGTTTCCATTATATGGCGAACGTAATAGAAAATATATGTTTTGTTACTACATGCCTTGTGCGGATAAAAATTAGAGAAAATTACAGATTCTACATCTTTTGATACCTGACTTACTAAAAGTATATTTTTAAAAAATTGTACCCATTAACTAGTTCTAATATAAAAAATAGAAATATATGGACTAATGTTAAATGTTAGAAATAAAAGGGCTCCATTTCATGAGGTATTTTTAAAAATTACCATAGGATTATTTGATTGTTAGTTTGCAATTGAAAAGACAATAAGAGAGGTTCTCTCATATTTTATTTTGGGTCATATGCAATTAGAAGCCCAGTAGAGATAACATCAAAACCAAAAAATAGAGGGAGAAATTTATAAATGCCACTCAAATGACCCAATCTTTACATTTATATCACCCGAAGGTATAAATTTTTGCTCTATGCTACTCAATCTACTTTAAAATATCTAATCCATTTTTATTCAGCAACATATAATATTTTTAAATTTATGTGGCATGTCATGTAATTTACTCAAAAGAAAAAAATAGAGGGGATGAAGAATGTTAAATGAGTGGTGACATTTTAATTAAATCAGAAATTATTTTGTTGTACCATGTGTTTTAGGTAATTTATTTTGAAAGTATACTATCTTTTTCTGATCTTGCCAAATGTGTACCTTCATATTAAATTTAATATTTGAATCTATACCTACTTTCGATCAACACTTAAATTTGATCTTAAAATGTCAAAAATACCCTTGAATACGAGAGAGAAAAAAATTTAAACGAAAAGGCACCAAAAAATCTCATTAAAAAACTAGAAAACACTTTTAAAATTTAGAATTTTCTTTCTCTAATTTTTCAGTTTTTTTTTTTCACATTGTTTTAAAGTTTTTTTTGTTTGTTTTACTTTATCAATTTGAGGGTAATTTTGGTATTTTTTAAAGTCAAAATCTTTTTGTATTGACCGAGAAAATGTAAGAATTTTTGTATTGAATCTGATTTAAAGGTGAGATATAAAAAAACTAATAGTATACTTTTTGAATAAATATAAAATACAAAGGTACAAAAAGGTAAAAACACCTTTAATTATAAGTTAAAGAGCTCCTGGAAAAAAACAAAAAAGACAGGATCCAAATTCTATATTTACACATTTTATTGGGAGTTGGAAAAACGAAGGCATAGCTAATATCTTGTTGATTAGGGCGTGCTTAAGGGCATATTTATATTTATATTTATATTTATTTATTTATTTATTATTATTATTATTATTATTATTATTATTTTGTCTTTACAAGGGGCGTGCTTAAGGGCTAATATCTAGTAATATTACGCAGCCAATATGGGGAACCTCTAGAATAACCATAGTATATATGTCCAAGATGCAGGAGAAAGCTTTATCTGTATGCCATCTACTGGAGAAAAACTTTTCTTCTCTGTTGGCGAATCGCGGTTCTTGTTTGTTGCACTCCTGATCAGGAATGAGCAGAAACAATATGACATAGTGGAGTGACGTTAATCATGGTTGGTCGAGAACTAACAGCTAGGCGTATTGAGTAAAATAGATATTATTTTCCAACTAAGTGATGCAAACTGTTAGAAAGGATACCACAAATTTTCGTAGTAATTATAGAAGTTAGTTACAAGTCGATCTCCAATACATTAATATGTTAAATTGTAAAAGTCTTGCGAGTTTGCCGTCCAACGTTTTTAAGATGAGGTCACTTAGGCTTAGTTTGGTAGTGTTGTAAATTTTAGAAAAATTGCTTTTAGCTGTGCTGAAGGAAGAAGTAGTTGTTACAAAAAACAGCTGAGTATTTAGTAAACTATAATTATAATAACTGTGTTGGTTCTAAAATAAGTGTAATAGCGTTTGATAAATTACGAGATTAAATTGCTGTAGATAGTTAAAAATTATGAATATCTTATATTATATTAGATTATAATATAATATATAATTAAAATATAATATATAATTATTATTATATTTAATATAATAAAAAATTATTATTATATAATTATGACATAGAATATAATAATATTATTAAAATAATAATTAAAATAATTAAAATAACGATTATATTCTATTATACTATAATATAATATATAAAATTAAAATATAATGTATAGTTATTATTATATTTAATATAATACAATAAAATTATTATTATATAACATATTATATAACTATGATATAGAATATAATAACATTATTAAAATGGTTAATATAATTACAATTTTATAAAACATATTATAATATTACATAAAAAATATTAATATTTCAATCATAATATAATTAAAAATTACAATTATATTATAATACAATATATTATATTATATTACACAAATATATTATATAACCATAACGTGTGTAATACACTATAATATATAATAATATTAAAATTATAAGATTATATTAATATTTAATTATAATAATTATTATATTTTTATTAATATAATAAATATAATTTTATCAATATAATATAATGTAATGATATTATTGTAAGAGTCTGAATTTTAGATTGAGAAGATTATAAATTTTAAATTTTATTAGGGGTATTATGGGTATTATGAAAGTTTTATTAATTGTACTATGCTGATTCCCGTACAATCAAAAAGTTAAAGTTGTCTTTAGGCTGCTTCTGATTTTAGCTGTAGATTCTTACAAAATTCTTCAAAAAACACTTTTGAGGAGATTTACCAAACACTAAAATCAACTTCTGCTACAAGCAGAAGCTGATTTTGGGTGGAAAAAGAAATACCAAACTAAGCCTTATTGAGCTTAATCTTGATGGTTGCTCAAATTTGAAGAACCTTCCGGAAATCTCAGAGCCTATGAAGAGCTTAGAATTCCTTCATTTAAGCAGAACAGGGATTAGAGAGCTACCATCATCGATAGGATATCTAATTAGCGTTCAAGAATTGGAGGTTATGGAGTACAAAAATCTCGAGTCCGTCCCGTGCAACATATGCACAAAGGCTGGGCTTTCGGATCTCGATCTTTCAGATTGTCTAAAACTCGAATATTTTCCTATGCCAAGTGGTTTCCTCCGCTGGGATTTGGAACATCTTTATCTTAGCAACTCTAATATAATAGAACTTCCTAGAATCATCAAAGGACTTTCTAAGCTGAGACAGATTCACGTAAACAATTGCAAGAATCTTCGTTCTATACCAGAGCTTCCATTGGGCTTGCAAATTCTTGATGCAAATGGATGCTCGTCATTGGAGATCGTGTCAAATACTAAGAGAGCACTCACACAAGAGTTCTGGGATTATGTTTATAGTGGAGTGGATGATATTCTTGAATTTTCAAAGTTCTGTTATTGCTTGAAATTAGATCAGAAGCAGCGTCAGAATATTTTAATTGATTTCCAGCTTCAAGTTTTTCGGACGGCTACGCAATATGTATATGGAGACAATGAGGTACGTTTAAGTTGTTTAATTTTTCAGATGAACTCTTTATGCAGCCGAAATAAAGAATGACTCTCTTTATGTTATAGAGTTTGCCTTCTATAAATGCTTCGAGTTTTCCGGGGAATGAAATCCCGAAGTGGTTCGAGTATCAATCAGAGGGATCTTATATGAAGCTTCCACTAGAATGGCAGAATTCCAACTTCTTGGGTTTTGTGTTGTGTATAGCTGGTTACTGTAATTCTGACGTCAAATCAAAGCTGGATTTAAGATGTGAAATCAATCTCAGACAGGGCGAAAAGGACGAATTTCCTTTGGGGTTTAATGGTGTAGGGGATAAGTATTTTATAATGTCAACTATATCACATTCAAGCAATGTGTGCATGTGGTATTGTGTTGGGGATTGGTCTGAATGTCTTGATGCAGTGGAAGCGGCATTTGACTTTTTGTTCATTGATTGGGATCAGAGCAAAGGTTACTGGGTTAAGTCTTGCAATTGTGAAGTGAAGAAGTGTGGGATCAAAAGGATATAGAGGAGTTCAGATTCAACTTCATTGACGCCGTTGAAGATCTTGTGCTTGAGGAATCAGCTACAACTCCCGACCAGCCTGAATCCAGTGCACGTGGAACCGTCGACTTCGAAACAGATGAACCACAACGCAAGAAAATCAAATTTACAGATTCCTGTGGCGGCTGATTATTTGATCTCTTCCGAGAATGCATAATCGGTAATTGCGAAAATGTATGAATATGGATTTTGATTTCCTTCAGCTACTTTAATTTGTGAACAATACAGTTTTGTAGTAGACTACGCTTTTATCTATAGTATTTACTTTTTTTTTTTTTTTTACTTATTATTTGTCAAATTAGAGAATTTAAATTAAGATAACTTCCGGTTATTGTTATCCAGCTAGGATTATTTGTTTTTTTTAATAAGGAGATATCCTAAATTTCTATATTAGCTAGTATTTATCTCTTAGAATTTATCTACTTAAGTTAGGATTTATCTATTACTAGAATTATGGGATTCAATGTCAGGAGTGTTGTCATGCTTACCTATAAATACTAGTAGCCTTTTATCAAACGTTCAATATAAGAGAAAATATATTTTTTTTCCTCTCTAAAATCTACATTATTATTATTATTATTATTATTTTTGTGTGTGTTTATCCTTCTTTCAGGTTTATGGTGTTCGGAAAAGAGAACCGACATAATAAAACTAATGGTTATGCATTTTGCAGTTATGTTGCATTCTTCTCAAGAAATTGATAAAGTGGTAATGATAAATTTTTTTTTTTTGAAGACAGGATTTCTGAGGCCGAAGTAAGTTGGAGCTGAGTTTGGTGGTCTGCTCCGTTAAAATCATTGTTTCTAATACGGACATCCCAATTTCAGAAATAAGAGGATATTGATGGAGATTAAAGTTGCTATTTGAATAATGATTTCTGTTCTGAAAGAAGGCAAGACTACTTTTATGTAAATTTGTTTTAATTTTGCCACGGCTTTTTATCTCTATTATTTCTTCTTGGTTTCTGATGACTGATTTTTGTACTTACTGAATGAATAGTGATATGTTAATTCAACCATAATATTTAGTATCTAGACAACGAGTATTTGGCTTTGTTTTGAAAATGTTGGCAGTTTCTGACATTGTTGGATCTGTTCACAACAAAGAATTGAGTAAGAAAGAATGTTCTTTTACTTGAGGATTTGTTGTAAAGTACAGATATGAGACTAATGTTTAAGGAAAACTAAGTATTTTTGTTATTGTTTGGTTATTAATAGCAAAAGTGTTGCTCGCATCCTGATGACTTTGTAAAAGAAGAAGCGTGGCTAAAGTTATTTCAAAGTTCGCAACTTTTGACGTCCGATGATAGCTTTTTTGTAGTGAAGAATGCTGGCTGTTTCTTGCACTGCTGGGTTTGTTGTGGTTAGCTCGATCGGCTAGAACACAGATGGATTAAGTTCGCGTGAATATCAATTCTTTTGTAGCATGTTTCTTACGACGGTGTAAGTCTGGCCCCTATTGTCTCTTGCAATGTGTTTTGAAATTGTTAATTTGCAATATAGCCAAAATGTTTGTTTTGATCCTTATTTCTTTTTTGTTTTCTAAATTAAGTGAAGTTACCAAAGCAAATCATAAAAGTCCTTATTAGGAGTATAATCTGTTTGTTTTCTCAGAGTGTCTGCGGATTGTTTCCTTGAGTTCTGTAGTTCATAGGGCGTAAAGTGTGTAGGGCCTTTGACACGATATTTTGCACAACAATCTCGGTAATGTCATCAACCAATTGATCTATTTATTCAACATATTTTCAAAATGGTTTTCGACAATTGAAATCCAATTTATCCCTTTTCCCGTTCATGGTTTTCCAACTGGAGTGTGTCCTTTTTTAACCAACTACATGACAAGCCATCAATTTTTGGCTCACACTTTGCGTTGGTTAGCTCTCTTGTTCAATATCGAAACTTGTTTTCTTCTTCCCAACTTCTTTGATTCGACGATGGCTTGGAATTTTGTATGTTTTGTCTCTGAAAATAGTGAAAAAAGGTTGTTCTGGCTATGCTTCCATGTTTATTTTAGTTATATGTCCTTTCAATTCTACTGTTCTGTATGCAGTAAAAAGAGAAGAAGTACCTAAAGATTGCTGCATTTTGGTGAAGTGCTGCATTTTGATACTTGTCTCGTGATACCAAAACAGAGATCGAAACCAGGAATCACCCAAATGAACCGAGTTAAATTGAAGTAAATAACAGATGAAAAGACTTTATGGTTTTTCCCAAAGGTAGTTTTCTGTAATTACCTAACATTAGCATTAGTTTGGGACTCAGAAGATGTTGATTTCTTCTCATAGATTTTCCTTTCTTTAGGTTAAACCAGAGTTTCCCCCAATAGAGTTGATACTGCTGTTTGTCAATTGATGATGCCTAATAAATCGGTTGCTGCTCGGAGACCAAGACTTCTAAAATCTGCCATATCAGCACTGAGTTTCCTAGAATGAATATTTGGATAATTTTTCATTGTACTTAAATGGTTTGACTATAAGTCATTGCCATATTGGATGGTGTAAATGTTGGTCTCCGAATCGAATTCGGATGCGGAAGCGTGGGGTAGGCGGATCGTGTATAACAAAAATTTTCATAAAATCTTTGAGATATTCTATAGATTATATTAATTTATGCACGAATAAATTAATAACATAAATTTATATATTAAGAACTCAATGTCTTCCACGTCAATTCCTAGAATCCACGAAGACGTGTGTGCGGGCACACCTTAGACAAAACGGGTTAGAATAAACACTCAAATTTTCACAAACACCAACGCATGCATGATGTGAAATTTTTGGAGAAAAATTTTCCCTTCCCTCACTAAGAGAATTTCGGCCACCCCTTTTAAAATTAGGGCAAAAATTATTTTTTGAAAATTGTCTCGCGCAATTTTCTATTATTCTCTCATTTATAGAGTAGAAGTCAAACTTCTAGAAGGAATCCAATCTCTATCTCCAATATAAAACTTGTTAATTATCTCCTATTTAAATTTAGAACAAAATCTCCCACTCCCTTATCTTTAGTGTGGCCGGCCACCTTAGGGGATTCTCATCCCTGTGTGGCGCCAATATCAGATAGGGAAGGAAGAGAAAATCATTATTTATCTTGCAGTCCAATTTTGATTCAAATTCAAATTCCAATTTAAGTCAAACTTAAATTAATTTGAATTCTAAATTGAGCAACTTATCAAATAAGTTTCAATAGATAAATCTAGAGGTGTTCAAATTCAAATTTAAATAATCACATTATTTAAATAATAATTAATTCTCAATTAATTATTTTCGAGTGTTTAATTTTAGAATTCCGTAATTCTAAAATTCCCATTTTGCCCTCTGTGTCTGGCAGAATTACTAGGACGGCGCGGGGACTAATGGACCTATAATCCCGAGCTCCAATAAAATTAATAATCAATTAAACACTTTAATTAATTAATTAATTCTATTAATTCCAATAGTTACTCCACTATAAACTTGGAATTGCACTCTCGAAATTATAGATATAAATTACTTCTAAACTGTGAAGTGTCCATT